CCAGGTAATGATTTATATTGACCATGCATACAAAACTGTTTTGTGTATCTTGGTTTAATATCATAACATCACTTATAATTCTCTGCATGTTTTTATAATTACAAAAATAATTAAAGCACTCCATAAACTTTGATATAGCAAACCTCAAGGGTCTTGTTGGTTCTGTTGTTTCTCTGTCATGATAGTTAAAGAATAGAAAAGCAAGAAAAGGTATTTAACACAGAGACGTGCATGCGCGTGCACGCACGTACACACACACACACACAGGCAAAAAGCAGTCAGGTGCATCATAAAGCTTGTTATGTTATCTGTATGATTTATTGCAGAAAAACAAACCCAACTCAAATATGTTTGCCCTGGGGCTTCCTTTTTTATGGATTGTATGAGTTCTCAGAAATGAGCCTTGGAGATTTCTGCAACAAAGATGAAAAAATACCAGATGCTGGGAAGAAGATAGGCTGCTGAGGTATGGGAAGCCTGAGCAATGTGGGCTTAGGAATGGAGTTTGTGCACCTGACACCCAGATGCTAAGAAGTTGCTGAGTGGACCAGCGGGTTCGCTGAGGTGGGGGTCTCAGGAGAAGAGGGGATTACTCAGGATCCTCAATTGGTGATGGTGGTGGGGGGACTTTTCTGCTTCTCCTCTATAAGCCATGGGGAGAATGGCATCATTTCCCATCACTCACAGAGCCCTGGCCACTTGCAGACTCCAGAGATGGTACCTGAGTCACAGAATGCTTACCCAGAAAACTAACAAATCATTGAAAGAGCACAGATACCACAGTGAGGATGAAGAATATAAACAATCTAAGCACAAAATAACTTTTATAATAAAGACTGTTACAGTTTGGCTATGAAGTGTCCCCTGAAAGCTCATGTGTGAGAAAAATGTAGGAATGTTCACAGGTGAAATGATTCAATTTTAAGAGCTATCACATAATCAGTAGGTTAACTCATTGTATAGATTAATAATTCCAAAGGAGTACTGTATGAGGTAGTGACTGGGGCATGCTAGAGGAAATAGGTCACGGGGGTGTAACCTTAGGGTTTATATTTGGTCCTTGGTGTCTTGTTTCTTCTGCCACATGTTCCCACCTTGGTGTTCTGCCTCAATTTTGTCCCAGAGCAATGAAGTCAGCCATGGGCTGATGCCTCTAAAATAGTGAGCCAAAATAAAGTCTCCCTATTCTAAGTTGTTCTTGTTAGGCATTTTCGTCACAGCGACAGACAGCTAACTAACACAAAGATTTAACCATTTATAGAGAGACTAAAGGCTTAAAAACTCAGAAGATTTTCTTGGAATTTAAAATTTGGATCCTCAAAATAAAGCCCCTCAGTTGCCCAGGCTGTTTCTAATGCCTTAAGTGTGGCCCTAGCAGTGTGTCCTCAGGGTCTCCCATTTTGGAATTTGTTGAAGTTATTTTAACCACCAGTAGCTATAACTGAAAGGAAGCAAGGAACTGGGAGATGGGTGAGCCAGAAATGAAAGACGGAGACCAGGCAGAAATACACAGGAGAGTTTATTTGTCAAAGCTGACAAATAAAGGCACATCTCTCAATAGACAGAGGCAAAACAGGCTAGGGGTTCTGGACTTTTATGGGGGCAAGGCTCAGGGATTAGAGCCCTGCAGGCAGTTAAGGGAGTGGTGAGCGTTTCTCAGAAAGGCCCTTGGGCAGGAAAGTAAAATTTGTCTTAATTATGGCTGTCACTTAAGATGCCCTTCTAAGCAAGCACTTTACAATAACCACTGTCTTTTCTTCCAAGAGTTAGCATTCCTGATTTTTTTTAAGACTGAGAGAATACCCAAGGTTTGGAACTTTAGGTCCTAACTCCTAACTCCTGGTAAATCTACTTTCCATTCTTCCGTACTACCTACATTTATCTTACCAGATGGTACGAGAAATAACATAGGAGCTTATGGGGTCTCACAGAGGGGAGATTGAATAAGAAATGCATTTAATTTTAATTCAGTGGTGTATGTCAGTGACTTGTAGTCACTTTGTATTTGCTTAAGCACTTGGTGACCATCCTCACGGAGGAACTGCCTCCAGGATGTTAGTGCAGCCCACGTCGCCAACCTAACTCTGTATGTCTCAGGAAGATACAGGACCATACTTGAACCATACTCTGATCATGTCCTACTGAAGCCAGAATTAGACAGGCAGTCAGTATAGATAGGTAAATCAAATCAGGTCAGATCAAGGAGGCCAATTTTGAGTAAGTCGGGCAAGTTGGAGCCTGTCTCCTGAGGGATTGAAATGTTAATTACTTCAGAGCCCTTGCTCCACCCTTCTCAAGAACCCAACCCTGCTCCAACCTGTTGCCAAGGTAATCTTTCCCAGGAATTGCCCCTCCCTACAGGGAGCTGTCAGGTTGTTAATGTGTCCTTGGATGCTCCAACGTGTTCTTCCTCCTTCAGCCTACCTGTTTCCCACCTTTTGGCCATCCCACTGAAATTTCCTGGGCCTAGTCACCTATGCAGGAAGGAGAAAGATAAGGGGAAGAGGACAGGAGAACAAAGGAAGCCTAGGAGAAATAAAAAGGCAGAACACCTAGTTTCTGGGTATACCAGGATACCAGCTATGGCCCCCTTCTCCCTCCCAGGAGAAGTCTATGTTACCCCTTTTTAAATAAAACATGCTTTATATGCTTGCCTCAGCGTGCTTCTCTAACATTATACTTCAACATGTGGGGAAGCAGGACTCCTCACTGATAACCGGCGGTATCAGTACTGTGTACAGCACCAAAGCAAAGAATAGTAGAGGAAAAACAAGGTTTGGAATGTGTAGAGCCCGAAGTTGCTTTGTGGAAAAGTCTTCCCATGGTCAAGCACACACTGTTGATGATAGAAGATGGAATTCTCATTGGTACGGAGTCAAAAGGGAAGCTCTCCCCTTCAAGAGTGGACTTGAGATGTAGTTGATACTGCCAGTTACCAGTTACCTTGATGAGTCCTTGATAACACCAAAGAAGTGCGCTGGAGGCAAGGATAGAGTAGAAAGTAAGAAGCTTTATTTAAAGGATAGTAAAACAGACTTCTGGGGTGGGGGGAAGGGTCCCAATGGCTGAATCCATGGGTTTAAGGAAGTTTTGTCCCTTTTGTGCATTCTTCTCCCTTCTCTGGTTTATTGTCCCCCATCCTGTACATGTGATCAGGAGATGCCAGTGGAGAGGCCAAAAGGTGGGAAACAGGTGGGCTGGAGGGGCCAAGTACAGGAAGAGGATCCAGGGCAAATTAATTCTCAGCTTCCTGTCTGTTCCGGAGTTGCTTCATTAACAACTCTTTAAGAGGGGCAAAGCTCTGGGAACATTGACATTTCAGACTCCCAGAGAGCAGTCTCCAACCTTCCAGACACAAACTGGTCAGTTTTCTTCAATCTGCCCCAATTTATCTTTCTACACTGATTGCCTGTCTTTAATTCTGGCTTCACAGTGCACCATATGTTTTTCTCTGTTGCTAAAAATTGAGTGAAATGGTTTTTTTTTTTTCAAAATTTCCTGTTTCAAAGACACTTCATGCAATAATTCTACAAGTGGTTTTAAGAACCCAGCTCTCAATAATAAAATAAATCTGGGTTATTTCTGCTAGAGGAAAGACTAACATATCTCTTTATTCTCTCTGTAAAAAAAAATAGTGTAAAGTTGCAGTTATATGAAGAGATGATCAAAGAATGTGAAGTAAAGAAATGTGGGAAGATAAAAGCTCTTTAGATAAAGGTTAGGTAGTCATCAATAAAAACACAATGCCATCTTTCTGGATTTGGAGGATGTTCAGGGAATTTGGCAACATATTAAAATACATTTATTCTCTCATGATTTCTTTCAAACGCTGTAAACAAATATTCACATTTGTACCCAACTTTGTATTTCTGTTTGCAGTTTTTCTTAAGAAATATTTTAATATGTAAAATTAAATGAAATTTTTTCCCCAAATCTGGATCTTGCCCTGAAGAAAATATGTTTAAAAGTCCAAAAATATATAGGAGTCCACATATCTTGAGTAATACGGCATCCTAACACATTAAAATAAACACAGGCAAATTTATAAATGCTAAATAAAATTTGTGTGTGTGTGTGCTAAAAGATTATTTTATTGAAGCCAATAAAAAAAGAAAAGATTTGGAAAAAAATATGTGTGGAACCCATATATGAGAAGAAATATTAATATCTAAACTGAATAAAGGTATCTCAAGATTGATGGGAAGAGGCATGCACAAACCCTTAGGGGAAATGTGGCAAAGGACAGAAGAAGCAGTGTTTCTTTCAAGTCCATGTGTTAAGCCATAGGGAAATTTCACCAAATAAAACAGTAGACTACCTCACAGGTCCCACTTGGATAATAACGAATTAGAGGACAAGAGCAGAAGAACCAAAAGAACCCATTCTTGTGGAAATATGAAATATACTTCTAAATAAGTCATGGGTCAAAGAATTCATCATGGAAACTAAGCACTATAATGGAAATGCTACATATCCAATGTTGTGAATTGCACCTAAAACTAGAGTCTGAAATGTTTCTATAAAAATCAAAGGATAGAATCAAGGAGCTAAGTGTTCACAATAAGACTTTTTCCTTTCTTAAAGAAAGGTATGGTCTCCAAAGCAGATAGGAGGAAAAAAAAAATAGGAGCACAAATTAAAAAAAAAAAATACAGGGCTGGGGATGTGGCTCAAGCGGTAGCGCGCTCGCCTGGCATGTGTGCGGCCAGGGTTCGATCCTCAGCACCATATAAAAACAAAGATGTTGTGTCCGCCAAAAACTAAAAAATAAATATTATAATTCTCTCTCTCTCTCTCCTTCTCTCTCTCTCACTCTCTCTTAAAAAAAATACAAAATACATGAAAAAAGCGCTTGCTTAATTTATAATTTATTAATAAAATGGAAAATTCTGTTGTTATTGCGCAGGCAAAGACACAAAAGCACACTGGCTTCATACAAGAGGTTCAAAGCATAGAAGTTAACTAGTGAGATCAAAATAAACACACAAAACTCAATTTACCTTTTTCTTTGACCAGGTCTAAGACGGCTCTCCCCTCTGGCTCCTGCCTCGAGCCACCCAATGGGGCAGCGAGGTTTACACAGACTAGCAGGAAAGAGAGAGAGAACACGCCAGGGAGTGGCTTTTTATTGGGGACAAGAAATTCAGGGGAAAATTCCATCCAATGAAGGTCGAGGGGAACAGCATTCCAAGGTCAGGGTCAGTGATTGGTCTCAGGGTCAATGGTCAGTTACACCCCCACACGGATGGGCTCTCATACCTAGAGAGGGTGGGGATTAGTTCGACACAGTTTAGCCAGAATGCCTCACACCCAATCAGGGAGGTGCCCAATCACATGCGAGAACGGCTTCCCACACTAATTGTTCTCATCAGGTCTTTTAGGCACAGTGATGAAAAAAACTAACAAAAACAATATAACAACAGAAAATGAGAGATTTCTAGAAATTATTGATTTTGAGTTGAATATATCCAATTTTCAGTTATATGTAAGTAACATACCAAATTTGTGATTTTAGAAGAAACAGAGCCAGAATTGACTTTTAACCATTAAAATTTTAAATCAGTAAACAAAATTCTATTCTCTAAATTACCTCTATATTAGATGTTTAAGGTACTAATTCTTTTAGACATGAAAAACTGCAGTCTTCCTTTTTTATACATAATATTTCAAAGAGAAGAAGGAAAGAAGGAATGCTCCCTAATTCTTTTTCTGAGTTTAATAATAATATTGATGCTAAAACTTAAAAACATCCACATGAAAAATCTAGTATGCAATCTTTCTTATGAATATAAACATAGAATTCCTGAATAAATGTTAGCAAATAGAAGACCACTTTATTATTCTTAATACCATTATGGTCAAGGTGGATTTATTATGAGAATTCATGGTTGATTTAACATGTGAAATTAAAAACCTTAATTCTATTCACCACATAAATGCATTAAAATATAAGACATATCTATATATACCTAAATGTGTATAAAACAAGCATTTGCATTTGATAAAATCCAACATCCACTCAAGATTCACACATGTCTGCACATGTACGCAAGGCATCTAAGGCAACTATCTTACTGATGATTTTAACTCAACCTTACACAAGTCTTACACCTTGGGAGACCAACCTTGCATGTTACTGAGTCACACTCCTTGGCTGGGTGCTGAGGCACTCAGTCACAGAAATGAGGCAAAACTTTCCCCACCCTTCTTGGGTTCAAGGTATGGTGTCTCCTGCATGGGTGGAACTATGCTAACCTGTTCCTTTGTAATATAACCCCTTGCCCTGTTTAGGATAGAATCTTCCATGGAAGTGACTTGTGTGTGTCCCCTTCTCTTTCTGTGCCCTTGGGTGTGGCCTACCCAGATGTCAGTCAACCTGCTGACAGTGGACATCATGAAGATAGACTCAGTCCCTTGAAACCTGACCCTTTGCCTCATTTGAATAGCTTCTCATTAAAAGAGGTCAGCGTGTTCTCTCTCTCTCTCTCTCTCTCTCTCTCTCTCTCTCACTCTCTCTCTCTTCCTGTGACCCTTAAGGTCAGAGGAGCCATCACAGCGACCCCAAAGAAAAAGGTATTTGTGTCTCTTGTGTGGTTATTTTGCGCAGCCCAATTAGCCCAGTTCAACTGGAGTGACCCCAGCCTTTTAGTCGTGAGAACAGAAACCCGGTATTACACTGTATAGTGAAATGGAAAACCATTCCTTTCCAAGTTAGATACAATGCAAAGATGTCTGCTGAGTCAGCACAACATCAAAAACATTGAAATTAAAAATGATGTACTAGACTTACAGAGAGGAAAAAAACTTTATTGAATCATATGAAGAATTAAACAGTGCTTGCATGAAGATATCAATTATTTTCAAATTAAAATATATGAATTCCATGGAATTCATATCTTGTTAGTAGTGTATTTATAGAATTTGAAATGCTCATTCTAATACTTATGTGAAAAGTATAACGCAAAAAAGAAAAGGCAAGATAATTTTGAATTAGAGCAAGGCTGAAGAACTCACCCTAAGCCAAGTGCAGTACTGCATTACTGTAATCACAGTGACACAGGTCACTGAGACAGGAGGATTCCATGTTCGAACCAGCCTCAACAACTTGGCAAGGCCCTAAGCAATTTAGTGAGACCCTATCTCAAAATAAAAAAATAAAAAGGGGTGGGGAATGTGGCTTAGTAGTAAAATACCTCTGGGTTCAATCCTCAGTATAAAAAATACACAAAAAAACAAAAACAAACAAAAGAAGACACAAACCTCACCCTACACATATTAATATTTATTATAATCTAGTACTAATTAAGAGAGTATCCATGTGTGGTAGGCAAAAAGCAAGTCCAAGAAAGATGATGTGTCTAACACTATTTTTATAAACCATAAAACTTACAAAATCAATATAATAAGTACTTATAGAAACAAATGTGCAATGAAAGTATAAAATATTGATGAGAATAATACCTCAAATTTTAGGTTGCTAATTTCTTTTAATAAGAGAAATACCTAGAGTCACAGGGATTGGGGTGAGGTGGGGGGGGCTACAGATCTAATTATAATTTTGTAAAATTTTTTGTATAATTCTTATAAAACAAGAAAAAAAATAAAGTGTAAGGTAAAGATTCCAAATTTTCTTGGTTTATAGTATTAGAAGATGTTAAGTGCAATGGGAAAAAATTATAGAGGACATGAGGGAAAAGAGAGAGGGAGAGAGAGAGAGAGAGAGAGAGAGAGAGAGAGAGAGAGAGAGAGAGAGAGAGAGAGAGAATGAAATTTGAGGCAACTGCAATCAAAAACAAGGATCAGAAAACTCAAATCAACAAATATACTTTGGCTAGACAAACATTCTTAGAAAAAAAATGGGCATACATTTGAACAACCCCTTACTTTTTGGTCTAACATAATATCTCCACCACTTAGTGCATTTGAATGACATCTCTGGTGTCTGCTAATAGTGGAGATGCCCTCTCCATTGCAACAGAAATTAATGTGTTCACTGGTACAGTGTCTGGTCATTGCTTCAAGAGTGCACATATCAGAATCATTAAAAGAATTTGCAAAGAGTCAAGCATGTGGCACACATCTGTAATCTCAGCAGCTTTAGAGGGTGAGGCAGGCAGATCACAAGTTCAAAGTCAACCTCAATAACTAAGAGAGGCCCTAGGCAAATTAGTAAGACCCTGCCTAAAAATAAAAAATAGAAAGTGCTAGGGAAGTGGCTCAGTAGTTGAGCATCCCTAGATTTAATCTCCAGTACATAAATATATATATTTAATTTCCAGTACAAATTCATATATATATGAATTCATAAATATATATATATATATATATATATATTCATAAATATATATATATTTAATATCCAGTATAATATATATATGTATATATATAATCTCCAGTATAATATATATATAATTTGTAAAGAAAGACTCAGTGATTTAATTCCTGCTTCTTATCTGTCTGGATATGTCCTTGCTATGGTATATCTTCTTGGATCAACACAATTAGGGGAAGTGCCCCAGGGCAATAACCTAACCACATAGGGGACCACACAAGGCTTCATGCCTTACCCAAAGAATTTCAGGGAAAGACTTTGGGAAAAGGCTAAAAATGCAAGATATCAAGATATTGCAACCCAAATCGCAAATTCAGGTTTATTTAATTGGGGAAAACTTGAGACAATTTCTCAAAAAAAAAAAAAAAATAGAACAAGGGCAAGTGTTCTTCCCTAATAGAACATACCTTAGGATAGCAGTGCATTGCTTATTTCAAACAGCTATAAGAGAGGATTGTGAATGTTCTCATTTCCAAGAAATGATACATCTTTAAGGTGATGGATATGCTATCCATCCTGATTTGATCATTACACAGTTTTATACATGAATCAAAGCATCACATTCAAACCTGCAACATGCTCAACTATCATGTGTCCATCAAAATCCCAATAAAACAAAATTCTGAAGAGTAATAGGAAAAGAAAAATGTGATCAACCTGTCACAATTGCTTTCTGTAGCCAGCCTTCCTCCTAACTCAAACAGTGCATATACAAAATAGTACGCAAAGCTTAGAGAAATGTCTATCACTAAAAAAATCATCTTATCAATCAAGATCATGTTGATAATTCCAAGAATAAATGTTAAAAACGAAGTAAAATAATCTTTCAAAAGCAAAATGTGAATACAAATGGGTAGATGAAATTTTTGTACTTGAAATAAAACAGATTACTTTTGAAATGGGCTTTCTTGTGATTCAATGTTTTGTGTCCATGGCAAACTTTTTAGAACATATAAAAATAAAAATGCCCAACAATTCTATGGTACTTAGTGACAATGATCAGAACTTAATTACAGACTTTTCATCTCCAGTTTTTCAATTACTAGCCAAGTAATTAATTATTTCACCAAAGTTCACCTAAATAACAAAGTCTTATCATAGTTGTTTCATCAACTATAACTGCTAGTAGGAATGGTTATTTAGGATTAATAATCTCCTTTGATCTCTACAGTGATCATGCAATATAAATGAATAGGTGACCTTCTGAAAGGAGGATGATTTGTCTTACCTGGAAGGCAAATTCATAGACTCATCATCTATTTAACAACAACAACAACAAAAAAAAACCCGCTGGGATCAGAGCCCCACTCTGCCAGTGTCTCACTGTAGAGTTGTGTGAGCAGAAGTCAGAGATCTGTTTGACCTCCAACAGCAGAGCTGTAGACTGTTAGATTGTCATGTGACCTGGTTGAATCTGCAACAAAATGGGAGTAGGAAGCTAATAATCTTTATTAAGAACTGTCCTCTATTCAAGATTATTCATATTAACTTAAATCATAGATAGTTGAGTGTTTTCATATGAGTTCACATTCATCCTTGATACAATTTGCATTTTCAGTTTATTTTAATCCTCTAATTCTTGTTTTAAAAATCTATTTCACCATTAAAATTAGAAATTGAGGGAAGAATGACTTTCAAATTTCGTTTTACTTTTTGTTCTCAAGATACTAGTCTGAACTTCAACTATGAGTCATCTAAATTTTGCAGAAAGCACAAAAAAATTTAGTAAGATGAAAGTTCAAATAACACACCAAAAAATCAAATCCTTTCACTGTGT